CCCTATCCTTAAGAAATAAATTCTGAAGCCTTTAGAAGTAAAGAGCCCTGATGTATAGAACTTATCTCCACATGGTTCAGAAAAAAAAATGTTGAGTGAATGAATGTGTGAGTTTAGAGAAAGAGTGAGTGATTAAGTATATGAGTTAAATGTTAATGGTAGGTGAATGGGTAGAGTACATGACATTCTCCGTAGTATTATTACTCTATAACTTTTCTATAAGCTTGAAATTATTTCCAAAAAAAAAAAAAAAAGGGAAAAGAAGCCTGGCGATTATGACTTAAAGAGAAAAGGAGGGTATGTGAAAAAGATATATGCTTTTCTTAATTATCTTTGTATGGCTTTCTTACCCTTTGGGTTGTCTCTGATAAATCAACATTTAATCCTATGGAAGTAGCTATGTCACTCAGCAGGCAAAGCTATTTTTGTATCTATTGGCTAAGAAAGATTTCTAGTGTAAGAAGCAATAATAATGCTTTTCAAGTTGAAACCATCATAGTTTTTGGTGCCATGGAAGAATTTGGAATGAAGAGTCCTAGAGGTAGCTCTGATTCCTTCTTTGATACTTGCTGGCTGAATGGTCACGAGAAAGTTCCCTAACCTTTGGAAAATTTGGCTGTTACATTTTTGAATAATACTTGCCTATTCTCAAGATCTTAGGGTTCAAATGAGAAAATGCATATGAAAGTTCTTTGTAAATAATAGTGTTTTCTTCTACAAACATTAAATTACTATTAATAGTTTTGGTTAAAGATGAAAAATGGCTTAGACTAAGGTAGAGATTTTCCTTAATTCATGTGGCTTTTTTTCTTTTTAATGTCAAGATTGATTATACAGGAGAGCTTCTTTCCCTGTAGGTCCTTCCGTTCCTTCTGGTTGCCTCCTTTCTCATTTCCTGCCTTTGTTATTCCAGGCAAAGCTTCAGTGACTGAAGGAGTTGTGGATTTTCTGAATTTCAAGGACAGCAAAGTAGGAGCCTAGCAGAGGGTGTATAAAAGACGACACGTAAGTCAAACTCAGTGTTTTATCCATTCTCAAACGTCTCACGGATCTGAAGTTCCTCAGAATCGCTGCTGCTTTGTTCTGAGATTGTGTGTGAGGCTCTGATGGAATCCTCAAAGCCTCTGACCCGGCCTTTGAGGTGCCCCAGGTCAAAATCAGCCAAGGAAAGGCTCTATGGTTTGGAGAAGGAGGGAAGAAGGCCTGAAGCGGCCAGCTTCCTCATTGGAGGAGGAAGGCAACGTGGGCCAGGGTGGTAGAAATGCGTAAAACAAAGGGCAAAGGAAATAGTGCCTGCCTGAGAGTCCCTGGAAATGACAGAAGAGGGTGGTGCCGGATCTGAAGTTACGTAAACCAGTAGGAAGGGTTTCCAGAGAGGCCTGGGGGAGTCATTTGGGGCCAGGCCTGTTCCTTTCATCTAGAATTGCTTTTGATTGAAGTTCTTTATCCAGGAATATTACAGTTACCAGGTCTGCCCTCTTCTCTGGAGTTGCACAGTCTAGGCCAGAGCTACTCAGAGTGTCAGTCTGAGATGAGCTGAAGAGCTTGCCCTAGAACACAAACCAGCAAACTACTTCCTTCATTGAGAAAGTCTTGCTACCTAAAGTAAAAGTCAGCTGAGCTAAAGTGTTTTTAGTGTCGCAGTTGATTTCCATTCTGGCACATAATTACTATGTCCATGTGTATATCCAAGCAATATATTGGTTAGTTTTGCTTGTTTTTAAGCATGATAAGAATGGTATATAACATGTAGTGTTCTGCAACTTGCATTTTTTCACTCAGTTATGTTGTTAAAATTCACTTGTTGAGTGCAGTGGTTGTAAATTAATTTTTGTTGTTAAATAAAATTCTGTTTTGAAAATCTATCAGTCTGTTGCTCCACTTCCTTCCCAAATTTGGTATTTTATTGCCAGTCTAGTGGGTATAAAATAGTATATCATTGTGGTCTTAATTTGCATTTTCCTGATTAACAGTGACATTGAGCATCTTTCTTTTTAGCATCCTTTGGAGAACAGTTTGTGACTTTACTGTAGAGAAACTTTTCAGTCTTTTCTTGTATGGCTAGTGCAGTTTTGTTTGTTTCTGTTTTATTTTTTTGAAATATAGTCTAACAATCTCTCTTTTAACTATCTGTGTTTGGTCCATTTTCAATGTTAATGAAGTTTTTGTTGATTTGTGTTCTTATTCAATTTATTTTTTCTGCTGGTTTGGAAATTATGCATTCTATTTCTGTTCTTTTAATATTACCCTGAAAGAACACCGTGCACACTTAACAGTTTTAAAGTTAATCAGTAGTTACGGTACCCTAATCCCCTTCCAGAATAAGACAAAACTCCTGGGAGGCCTAATGAAGACTGTCTCCTTCTGGACTTCTGTGTTCTTTTCACTATGTTAGTTCTATGTTTCATCATACAAATGAGACAATTGTTATTGTTTAGAGATGGTATTTGTTTAAGTTGATCTATGTTTACCACGTCTTTCTTCTCTTCCCTTCTTCTGTCCTTTAACTTTTCTCTGGTGAGATTTGCCTTCTTCAGAATTTTCTTTCCTTAGAATCTCTTGGTGGTAATTTTTCTCAATTTTGGTTTATGTGAAAATGTCTTTATTTTGTTCTCACAGTTCTCAGTTGACAGGTTTTTTTTCTCCCAGCATTGTGAACATACTGTTGCATTGTTTTATGGCTTTTCATTTTTGCTATTCGGAAATCTACTGTTATTCTTTCATTTGCCATTCTTTAGTAGATGATTTGGCTTATTTTGAGATTGTTTGTGATTGGAGTTCTGTAGTTTCACTACTTTGTGTCTGTGTGCAGTTTTCTGTTTTTTATCCTGTTTATATTTGTTGTGTTTCAGGTATCTGTGGAGTCATGTCATTAATCAGCTGTGAAAATTTCTCAGTATTAATGCTTTGAATACTGTCTCCTTTTGATTTTAATTAAATAGATGTTAGAACTTCTCTTTTTATTTCTCATGTGTTTTAGTTTGTATTTAATATATTCTTCCTTGTCTTTCTCTGCTTCATTCTGGGTAATTTCTTAAAATTTAGCTTCCAGTTCAGTCAGTCTCTCTTTAGCTGTGCTGAATCTTTTATTTAACCCATCCATTGAGTTTTTAATTTCATTGATTATATTTCTTCATTTCTAAAAGCTCTTTCTCTGCTTCAAATCTGCATGAATATTTTTGATGATCTCCTTTTGCTTGCTCATTTTCTTTTTACTTCAGCTTTTGTATCTTTAAACAATACCAAGCAGAGTTATTTCATATTCTATATATGATACTGCCAGGACCTGAAATCCTCAGTGGTCTAACTCTGTGCCTTATTTCCTAATGTGCATGAGTTTTGATTATGTGCTAATATTTGTTTGATAATTATATCTTGGAATCGTGAGGTCTTACTTTTTTTTTCTTTTTTAAGATTGGCACCTGAGCTAACATCTGTTGCTAATCTTCTTTCTTTCCCCCACGTCGTCTTCTGCTCAAAGCCCCCTAGTACGTAGTTGTATATTCTAGTTGTGGGTCCTTCTGGTTGTGTCATGTGGGACACTGTCCCAGCATGGCTTGATGAGTGGTGCCATGTCTGCGCCCAGGATCCGAACTGGCAAAACCCTGGGCTGCAGAAGTGGAATGCGTGAACTTAACCACTCGGCCATGGGGCCAGCCTGAGGTCTTACTTCTTGGTATTTGTGTTTATTTGTACTAGGAGCCAGGAGGATGCCACAGACCCAGGACTACTTTTCTTCTCTTTGGGAGTCCTGGTTTCAGGTTGGGCCTTCCCCACCTTGCTGAAATCTGAAGGTCTAGATGCCTGTCTCATTGCTGGTATTTGTAATTGCTGCCAGGGCAACTGCTGCTTTCTTCTGTCTCAGGTTTCAGTGCACTGTTTCTGCCATATCCTCCTGGGGTTTGTTTCTCTACCTGGAGCTAACCAATGCATTAAAAAGTATTTTTAAAAATAATTTATCAAGATTCTAATTATAGTATAGCAGAAAGGCCTGCAAATATCTAGTCCACCATAATTCCCAAATTAGTAGTACCCAAGCAGTATTTTAAAAATCAGTTTTCTTTATGTGCCCTTTGTCAGTTTTCTTAAGTCATTTAAACTTTACATGGTAAATTATTTTCTTTCACCTAGGGATAAGAAGATAATGAAGTAGTGATCTCTTCGAAAGCTAGCCTAAATCACATCAGTACTCGTGTCACATACTACATCCCTACACTTTTGCCTGGGTTCTTTTTCTAGTTGATCTATTGGATATTTACTTCCTTGGAAACTGGAATCACTACTTTTGAAATAACTCATAAGAACAGAGATCATATTCAGCACCCGTTTATTATGCCTCCCAATCTGTCCTGTGTTAAAGTGTCATTTTTCTTTCTATCCAGAATCCTAGATATGTGGATCTCTGCCTGTGGATGCCTTTCTCTCTCACGTGGAGTACAGAAAATAGATGTTTACTGTTGTGAATTAGAGGCACTATCTCTGTAAGCTCCACGTCCTTACATTCCACATCCCTTTAATAGGCGTAGAAAGCAGCATGAAGTTTTAGGTCTGTAAAACGTTAAGTTGCCTTGGGCTTCGGTACATGAAAAAAATTTTTATTTCAAAACGGATGTCAACTGAGGTTGCTGATTTAATAGTTTTTTATTCATTCTGCAGCAGAATAATCACTTGTAGGCAACCATACCTTTTCAGAGGCTATACAGATCTGACAGGTGTGTGTGGATCAGGACTTCGTGATGAAAATGATATGTTAGGCATGTCTCTAATCTGCAAAATCTTTATGCTTTGCAGGTTACAGGTAGGATTTTTGTAATACCAGGGTAATCATAGGAAAGGCGATCACTGAAAACATTCCCAGCAAATGCTGAGCTCTGTGACTAGAGATTCTCTGAGGGACTGCCTATTATTGGCCCCATACTTTCACTTGGAAAATATAAATATCAGATAATTCTGTGATTTTTCCTGTCTTAGATAACAAATTCTAATAAGTAGTTACTTACTCTGTGTCCTCAGATTCTTGGGTTGTTGTTGACTGTCAGTTCAGGTACTATTGCCAGTTTTTGCTTTCCAAATGGTTTGGTTAGCTGAGCATTCCAGAAACTTCACCTGGAGAGCTGGGAAGGAGATAAAGTAGAACTGGAGAAGCTTGCCAGGAATGGTCAGTGCTTCCTGGGGAGAACCTGGCCAGCCTTCTGGGCCAGGGAGCCATCATTCACAAGAGCACGCTGCTTGGGTGTGGGGAAAGGAATCTGATTGCTGCTGCTCCCTGGCCTGTTGGCCTGGGCCGGCACTTCATTTGGTAGAGCAGTAACTGACCCTGTGAGCCTCCCAGTTCTCCTTTTTTACTGTAAATATGTGTCCCTTTGAAGGTTGTGATTTGTATTATTAGCATGATTTTAACACAGTTCACCGGAATACAGTTTCTTTGCTGCTGCAAAATTGTGGCTTTGGTTGAATCAAAATGATGCAGAGAGACAGCTTAAGAATGTGGTCTTTCAGGTGTCCTTTTCAGGTAGACCTTAAAAACTGGGGCTTGACAGTCATTGTCAAGATGAGTGACTGTAAATCAGTTTGGTCACCAGGCTCCACCGTATGACAGAGCACTGCCTTGCTGCAAGTGCTTCCTGTGTCCCGTGGGCCTTGGTCCTAATTGGGCTCCTCTAGACTGAGAACAGTTACTCAGCTCTCTCTGACTCAGCACTGGAGTACTTGGCCATTCATAACATTTTCCTCCTTTCTCACACAAAGTAGAGAGTTTGTACCTTTCTAAATAAGGGTTTGAAAAGTAGGATTATTTTAAACAGCTTCTTCTCCACCTTGTCCTCCGTCCTGCTCACCAGATTCATATCTGATTGCTTCTTGTCGTACCCTTTATTTGGTGCCTGCAAAAATGCCCACACAGTAATTTTTATTTGCCTTTGCCTCAGTCACGGTGTTCAGAGGTTGGCAGTGTGGCATCAGGGGAGCTGTGCTAGGTTCATTGGTAACCACACGACCTGGCTTCAAGTTGAAGTTCTACTCACAGTCTGTCTGACTTTGGTTAATCATTTAGCTTTTCTGAGTTTTAGTTTTTCCTTCTAATAACTACCTTAATCTGTTCATATGCTAGAGCAGAGGTTCTCAAACATTTTGGTTTTAGTTCCCCTTTATGCTCTTAGAAATTATTGAGGAGCCCAAAAGTTTTGCTATCCAGGTTATATCTAGCATTTTGTGGTAGGTAGAAAAATGGCCCCCAAAGTGTCTACATTCTAATTCCAAGAACCTATAAATATGTTACTTCATTATGGCAAAAAAGACTGCAGATGTGATTAAAGTAAGGCTCTTGAGATGGGAAGATTATCTAGGTGAGCTCAGTATAATCAGAAGGGTCCTCATAAGAGGGAGGCAGGGCTGTCAGAGTCAGAGAAAGAATTATGAGAATGAAGCAGAATTTGAAGTGATGTCATTGGTGGAAGGGGGACCATGAGCCAAGGAGTGCAAGTGTCCTCTGGAAGCTGGAAAAGGCAAGGGACATATTTGCCCCTAGTTCCAGGAGGAACTCAGCCTTGCCAGCACCTTCATTTTAGCCCTGTAACACCTGTTTTTAGACTTCTGCCCTCCAGAACCAGAAGATAATTTGTGTTAAGCCACCATGTTTGTAGTAATTTGTTATAGCAGCAAGAGGAAACTAATACAAATATTTTTCAGTGTTAGAAATTAAAAGTGAGAAATTATAAAAGTATTACTTTATTTTAAATTAATAATAAACCATTATAGGTTGGTATAAGTTATTTATTTTGGGAAAATAACTGTTTTCCAGCTATTAGTGAGAAGACTACTACTGCTATACATTTTTGTAAATCTCTCTAATGTCTGGCTTAATAGAAAATAGCTGCATTCTCAAATCAGCTTCTGCATTCAGTCTGTTGTGGCATCGTGTCACGTAGCCTGTGAAAAACTCCCCGTACACTCCTGGGAGAATGAATTTTAAAAAGGCAAATACTGTCTTAGTGTTAGTATGAAAAGTATTTTGGCCTCATGGACTTCCTAAAAGGGTGTTGGGGACTCCCAGGGGTCCCCAGACTCTACTTTGAGAACGTCTGGGCTAAGCCTTAGCCACATGGCCACACCCAGCTGCCAAAGAACCTGGGAATTGTGGTTCTTACGGCTGCCAGTTAAAAAAGTAGGGGATTCTGTTATTGAGGAAGAAAAGGAGAATGGATATTAAGGGATGTTTAGTTATCTCAAAAATTCTTATTATATCAAAGTTTGATACCCATGGTAGGTAGGTGATTACCAAAATGTTGATTTTACTTCTCCTTGTCCTTATATCAGCTAGGAAAAATGGGCATTTCGCTTAGACTGCATCATTTAGAAATACCTGTGACAGAACACAATGGCACATAGGCAGATGCATAGTTGTAGTGAGTTGCATTTTTAGCATTTGTAGATTAATTACATAAAATATCTTTTGTTTGGTGCTCACAGGCAGCTTTTTGATATCTTGTTTGGGTCTTTTGAACTTAACATGCTTCCTTTCCCTGGGTGGGAGGAAAGTTGGAGTTGAAATAGGATTTCAGACTCAACTTTGATTCCTAGTTGTTCTTCATGGGTTTGAAACTACAGCGGAGTGGCGTTTCCTCTCGGGCGTTTTGTAAACAGTTCCCACTGGTCCCTGGCAGCATCTGTTGCTGAAGAATAACCCAGTTCCAGTCTCTGATGTGAAAGAGCAGTTAGGAACGTTTGTGCGAAGTAGCTTGTAGTTTTTAAAGATGTATATAAGTACAATAGAACAGTTTGGGCTTACGTGGCTTAATTTTGAGCTTAATCCTGCCCTCATTAATTGATGATGTGTGTTTAATGGTTTTTCGTGCTATCTTCACCTTTAAGTCAATTATTGTAACGCCTTTTGGGGAAGGACTTGGGAGGTACTTTAACACCCCGTACATGATTTTAAACTATTATTTTAACCTCTGAGGTGGGAAAAACCCTTGTGTCTTTCACATTTTAGATTGTCCGTTTTCTAACGGAACTGATTGGGAAGGGGAGTTTAGGTCTGGGACGCAGGGTGGAGAAGAAGCATGGAAGGTAACTTTAGTGCCTGGAGCACTTGGCCGGGAGGGGAGAGGGGTATTTGGTTGGGAGCCACACTGGGGCGGGTAGTCTGAGGGCCAGAGAGTTGCACCTGTGTCTGGTGACCTTTCTGAACTGCAGCTGAGAAGGGCAATTTTACTCACTTTGCTTTTTCCCAGACCCCTCTGGGCCACCAGAAACCATCTTGCAGTTGCCAGTTTCTGTTTCACCTTGTGGTGTGCTGTGTTACCAGGAAGCAGGGTCCTTCTTGGTTGAAACTTGGGTTAAAAGAGAGAAAGAAGAAACAGTTTGTTGTAACTTGAACTTGTGGGACCAGAGATGTGTGGCTACTTATCACCTTGCATCTGAGGAGCTCGGTGTCTTTAGCAACTAGCATCATAATGGTAGCGTTTATTACCCGTATATGTGCATAATAGGAAAACTGTAAGTGAAACTGATGGGTGTCTCTGTTAGTTTTTGAATATATTTCAGATCATGACCTGGTGGCTGTCCGAGCTGGCTGTCCCTGAGATTGGCTAGGTGTTCCAGTAGGGGAGGCTGGCTGCAGTGCTCTCCTCTCTCCTTTTTGAGGAGTTTACTTTTATGTCCACATACCACCCTGGTCAACTGCGGGGTGTGGCAAAGGTCAAGGTGCTGGTTAAGAGGAAGTCTTGGTTAAAACCCATGTAGTGACTTATTGCAGCAGCTAGTGGTTTGGGGAACATGGGCTGGAATAATTTTCTGATACTTTAAAATAACTGTGAAGCAATTGTTTTAAGAGTGTAAAACAATTAGTGTTTTGATTTGGGAGTTCCAATGTTTACTAATCACTAAATGTAAACAGTTTCTATGTGTAAGAGACTCAACTGATGCAGGGACAAGAGCAGTGTCTCATTTTTTTCATGGGCTCTTTAGCAGGCCTGGGGCCTTCCATTAGCTGGTTCAGGAGACATTTCAGGATTGTAGCCAGCCTGCACAGGCCTTCAAACACAGGTCATTGCTTCATGCAGAGAGGGCCCCAGAGTGTTTTGGAAGATGTGTGTGACAGTCTAGGAAAAACTAGGGTCTCTCTGGGAAGAGGCAGAAGTATGTACAATGAACTAGCTGTTTTTTGGAATTTTTTACTCTCTCTCTCATTTCTTACTGATTTCCTACGTGACTCCCACGGTAGCTGTTGGAAATGCTTACTTCTTTTTGAGCTCCTCATCTCCCCCAGCCGAGCTCTTCACAAATGGTTTTAGAAATGAAGTCATGGAGACAGAGCCTGCCTTTTCCCTTCCTCCTCTCCACCTCAGACTATATCTGCCATTTTCTTGGCAGGAGCCAAGCTGTTCTGGTCTCGAGCTTTATCGTGTGTGGGCAAGTCTTGTTTCTTACTCCCTCACGTATCTTCTTCTGTCCTGCCCCCGGCCTTTCAGGTGCCCAAGCATCCTACTGTTATATTTAGCTACTCTGTGGTATGATTCTTGAAATGGACCAACTGTCTCGTGCATCCTATTGGTGTCTTTCCTATTGAGACCCAACTGTCTCGGTCCATTCCCTCAAAGTCCTCCTTCACATATTGTAATCTGTTGGCTGTGCCTTGAATATTCACAGAACATTTATGGACCTCTTACTGTGTGCCTGGGTGGGACCTAAGGTGCAGATGCCAGGAGATACAGAGATGAATCCGACTGTTGGGGCTATTGGTATAGAAAGGGGAGAGAAATATGGGAACAAACAGCATTAGAGATTACTAATAATAAAAATACATACAGGCTAGGGTGAGGAGGACACAAGGGAAGAGGGAGCACCTCTGCCTTGGAAGATGTGTAAGTGTGAGCCCCTCAGACAGGAGGAGAGGCTTGTACCAGCCATCACCCAGGAGCCGGAGATGGGTTACTATGTCCCCGCTTCCTGAAGGGATTTCATTGTGATTAGTCTATAGCAGAGGGATACCTCTATAACTAAAGGATCTCTAAAGGTGGAATTTGACTCACTGTGGCAGGTGATTTGGAAGAAATTTTGGGGGCTGTGGGTATCCCTTAGGTAACACATGGGATAAACATACCAGTTCTGTTTATCTTTGGGGCCAGGCTTTGACCTAAGGAGAAGATAAGCAGTCCTTGGTGCAGTTCCTAAGCCCTGGAGGGCTTCCTTGCTTGTATTCTTCTGCTTTAAGAATTTGTTGGTTACACATATACTTGTTGCTCAATGGCTCAGGTGCTTGGATGCCCTGTTCCTGTAGGAAGGCCCCAAATACTGAGTCTGAGGATGAGGCTAGATGGCAAGAACCTCCCAGTCTAAACCAGATCGTGTTTTAATTTTCAGTGTATCTTTTACTTTTCATTCATGGATAGTACTTGCCACAGTTTGTAATTATGTATGTGAATCTCTCTCCACTCGAAGTTCTTTTAAAGACAGGAACTACTGCTCTCCTTTTCACCATTTTATCCATACTGCCTACACTGGGCTTGGCATATAATAAGTAAAGAATGAACAGGACAGACACCCATCCTGAAAAGTGAACTCTTCTGTCAGCAGTGGTTCGCACATAGCAGCTTGCGAATAGATAACTGAGTTTTAATTTGGTCAAGGGAAAATGGCAGAAGAAAGTTAACATTTGCCAAAGTCCTTCCAGCAGGTGATATTTGTAAAACCAAGAAGGTCTTTTCAAAATATAATGTGCTTTTATGGAACAGATCTATATCCTGATTGTGGTAGTATTTATATGAATCTATACATGTGATAAAATTTTACAGAACTGTATGCAAAAAAAACCAAGAAAAGTACGTGTAAAAACTAATGAAATCTGACAAGGTCTGTAGTTTAGTTAATAAATAGTATTGCACCGATGTCAAATTCCTACTTTTGGTAATTGTATTGTGGTTGTGTAAGATAAAGGAAACTTGGGTGAAGAATACATGAGAACTTTCTACTATTTTTGCAGCTTCTATGTGAGTGTAAAATTATAACAAAATCAAAAGTTAAAAGAAAAATACAGTGAGATGCTACTACATACCTATTAAAATGGCTAACCCCCCCCCCCCCCCAAAAAAAAAACCCAGGCAAATGGAACAAAAATGGATATAACTAAGTCCTGGCAAAGATGCAGAGCGACTAGAACTCTCTTGCATTGCTTGTGGGAATGTAAGATGGTACAGCCGGTACAGCTTAGGTAGTCTCTTACAAAGTTAAACATCTACTTACCCTACAATCCAGCAGTTCCACTCCTAGGTATTTACCCAAGAGAAATGAAAACCTCTGTTCACACAAACATTTTTAGGTTAATAATTCTAACAGCTGTATTCATAATTGCCAAAAACCAAAAAAATCCTCAAATGTCTTTCAACAAGTGAATGGATAAACAGACTGATATGTCTATCAGTGGAATATTACTCAACAATAACAAAGAACAAACAACTATTTGAATGAGTGGATGAGTTTCAAATGCATTTTTATGTGAAAGAAGCCAAACTCAAAAAGCTATGTTCTGTGTGACTCAGAAGGGTACTTACTGTATGATTCCGTCTGTATGACATTCTAGAAGAGGTGAAAGTAAAGGGTCAGAAAACACATCAGTGGTTTCCTGGGGCTGGGGTTGGAGGAAAAGATTGACTTACAGAGGGCATAGAGAACTTTTTGAGGTAAACAAAATGTTCTGTATCTTGATTGTGGAGGTGATTAACTGAGTATATGTTTTGGTCAAAACTCATAGAACTGCGCATTAAAAAGGATGGGTTACTTCATGTAAATTATACCCCAGTAAATCTGACTTTAAGATGAAAACACTGCTGACAGCAAAAATAAATAATTAACGATATGCTTTTGCTTGAAAACTCATGAAGAATTCAGTGTTTGCCGCTTGTCTATGCTTGGATAAGGATTTGTGAAGGCATTTGTTATGCAAGGGGTCTCATTCAAACACGTGAGTGTTGCCTCTTTAGTACTTTGGCCTCTGATTGAGCAATGGAAATTACCATTGCCATAGAGATGGATGCTCTAATATCTGTTGAACAGAATGCTGCTGGGAGATGAAAACAAAGGCTCAGGCTCTGGCTCTGGCTTTAGCAGATGCAGTCTTTAGGATGTGAACATTTAACCAGAGGTCACTCCGTCCCCCTCTTGGCTCCTTTGCCATTGACAGAATCATTAGTAGAGCAGACTTGAGTTTGTGGAGTGTTTTAAATCTCAGCCGGAACAACAGTGCTGTGATCCCCGCCCGCCTACCTCACCTCCCGCCCTTGAATGGATTATAAAATGTCCTATTGGGAAAACCAACATGTTTGATTTGGGGGAAGAAAGAGGGCTAATTTTAGCACTACAGCCAGGAGTCCAATTTAAATATAACTCACAAATGTTCATAGCAGGAATTGGAAGATTCAAACTGGAAATTTGAAGCCCTGGAGACCTGAAGCAATGTCTCTTGATAATCAATATCCTTTGCAAGTCAAAGTCACAATCTGATTTTGAAAGAAAATTTAGACTCTGAACTCTTTGCTGTGATTTGTGGGGTTGAAGGATATAACTTCTGCCTTTACGGAACAGATAACTGGATGATGCGTATGAGATTACAACAGTCTTTTCCCAACAGACAGCTCCTTATTAATTTAAAACTGGGATTTACTAGATTGGTTTGGATTCAATGCCATCCAGTAGTCATTTCAGTTGAGCAAACACTTAGTCATTACCCACATGTCATGCCTATTATGAAGCGTTGAGTTTGCACAGGCACATAAGCCTCAAGCCCTGTTTTCAAGGAGTTCACCATCCAGCAGGATCCACCAAGCTATGTGCCACCCCTAAATTCAGCTACAGGGGAGACCCCTATGGAGGAAGCCCTGACCTAGGAGGTGACGCTTGAGTTGCGTCTTGACGTGTGAGTAGAATTTTGTCCAGTGCAGAAGAGAGCTTGGATTTTTCAGGCAGAAGGAGCCGAATGCTATGTGAAAACTTTTTTAGTCAGCAAATCATGGCATAGAAACCGGGCAAAGAATTTCTTCCCTCCCTCTCCAACTAAATAAGAGCTAAAATAAAAGCTATACACACAGACAGACACACACACACACACACACACACACACAGAGTAACAATACAAATTTATTATTTTATGCTTCTGTAGATTAGAAGCTCAGCATAGGTCTCACTGGGTTAAAATAACCGTGGCTGATGCTTTCGGCCTTTTCCGGCCTCTAGAGGCTGCCAGTATCCTTTGACTCATGGCCTCCTCCATCTTTCTGACCATTCTTCTATATTCAAATCCAGGAAAGGGTCTCTGATTTTAAGGATCCATAATTGGGTCCACCTGGATAATCCAGGCTACTCTTCCCATCTCAGTATCCTTAATTGATCACATCTGTAAAGCCCCTTTTGCCATGTAAGGTAATATATTCATAGGTTCTAGGGAAGGAAGGTGGTTTAGGATGTAGACCTGGGGGCCATTATTTTGCCTTCCACATCCTCCCAAACTTCTTTCTTTTCTCCCCACTAATAAACTATTTGGACACCAAAGCTAGCATTAGATAAAAAATTTAATATATATATATGTTTGATCATACTATGTAAAGTTATACCTTAAAGCTCTTTCCTTTTGGCACCCACTCAACTACCTCTTTCATTTTAAGAGCTGTAATAGTATTCTAGTTAGTAGGCGGTCCCTTTTTTTATTGAGCTAACACTGGTTTATAGCATTATATAATTTTCATGTGCACAGTCATGCGTAGCTTAAGGACGGGGATATGTTCTGAGAAATGTATCCTTAGGCGATTTTGTTGTTGAGTGAACAACATAGAGTGTACTTAACACAAACCTAGATAGTATACCCTACTACACACCTAGGCTATATGGTGTTAATCTTAAGGGACCTCCATCATTGACTGAAATTTCATTATACAGCTCATGACTATACAACATTATAATTCGACTTCTACATAGGCTACAGCGTGCTCACCACCAAAATCTAGTTTCCATTTGTCACCGTACAGTTGATCTCCTTTACCCATTTTGCCCTCCCCCCATCCCCCTTCTGCTCTGGTAACCAACAATCTGTTCTTTGTATCTATGTGTTTGTTTTGGTTTTGTTTATTTTTAATATTCCACATATGAGGGAAATCATCTGGTTTTTGTCTGACTTATTTTACTTAGCATAATACCCTCAGGGTCCATCCATGTTGTTGCAAATGGCAAGATTTCATCTTATTTTATGGCTGAGTAGTATTCCATTGTATATATATGTGTATACCACATTCTTTTTTATCCATTCGTCTGTTAGTGGGTACTTAGGTTGTTTCCTTATCTTGGCTGTTGTAAATAATGCTGCAGTGAACATAAGGATGCATGTATCTTTTTGAGCTAATGTTTTTGTATTCTTTGGATCAATACCAAGAGTAGGAGTAGCTGGATCACACAGTAGTTCTATTCTTAATTTTTTTAGGAATCTCCATTCTGTTTTCCAGAGTGGCTGCACCAATTTACAATCCCACCAACAGTGTATGAGGGTTCTCATTTCTCCACATCCTCTCCAACACTTGTTATTTCTTGTCGTTTTGATAAGAGCCATTCTGATAGGTGTGAGGTGATATCTCATTGTGGTTTTGATTGGCCTTTCCCTGATAATTAGTGATGCTGAACATCTTTTCATATGTCTGTTGGCCATCTGTATGTCTTCTTTGAAAAAATGTCTATTCAGATTCTCTGCCCATTTTTTTTTTTCAGTTTTTTTTTATTGAGTTATTGATAGGTTACAATCTTGTGAAATTTCAATTGTACATTAATGTTTGTCAGTCATGTTGTAGGTGTACCACTTCACCCTTTGTGCCCACCCCCCACCCCACCTTTCCCCTGGTATCCACTAAACTGTTCTTGGTCCATAGTTTTAAATTCCTCATATGAGTGGAGTCATACACAGATTATCTTTCTCTTGCTGGCTTATTTCACGTAACATAATTCTCTCAAGTCCATCCATGTTATTGCAAATGGAATGATTTTGTTCTGTTTTGCAGCTGAGTAGTATTCCATTGTATATATGTACCACATCTTCTTTATCCATTCGTCTGTTGCTGGGCACTTAGGTTGCTTCCACGTCTTGGCTATTGTAAACAGTGCTGCAATAAACATTGGGGTGCACAGGACTTTTGGGATTGCTGACTTCAGGCTCTTTGGATAAATACCCAGTAGTGGGATGGCTGGATCGTATGGTAGTTCTATTTTTAGTTTTTTGAGGAATCTCCATACTGTTTTCCATAGTGGCTGCACCAGTTTGCATTCCCACCAGCAGTGTATGAGGGTTCCTTTTTCTCCGCAACCTCTCCAACATTTGTTGCTATTAGTTTTAGATATTTTTGTCATTCTAACGGGTGTAAGGTGATATCTTAGTGTAGTTTTGATTTGCATTTCCCTGATGATCAGCGATGATGAGCATCTTTTCATGTGCCTATTGGCCATCAGTATATCTTCTTTGGAGAAATGTCTGTTCATGTCTCCAGCCCATTTTTTGATTGGGTTGTTTGATGTTTTGTGATTGAGTTGTGAGAGTTCTTTATATATTAAGGATATTAAGCCTTTGTCAGATATATGACTTGCAAATATTTTTTCCCAGTTAGTGGGTTGTTTTTTTGTTTCAATCCTGTTTTCATTTGCCTTGAAAAAGCTCTTTAATCTGATGAAGTCCCATTTGTTTATTCTTTCTGTTGTTTCCCTTCTCTGAGAAGGCATGGTGTCCGAAAAGATCCTTTTAATACTGATGTCAAAGAGTGTACTGCCTACGTTTTCTTCCAGAAGCCTTATGGTTTCAGGTCTCACCTTTAGGTCTTTAATCCAATTTGAGTTTATTTTGGTGAATGGTGAAAAAGAATGGTCAATTTTCATTCTTTTACATCTGGCTTTCCAGTTTTCCCAGCACCATTTGTTGAAAAGACTTTCTTTTCTCCATTGTATGCCCTCAGCTCCTTTGTCGAAGATAAGCTGTCCATAGATGTGTGGTTTTATTTCTGGGCTTTCAATTTTGTTCCATTGATCTGTGCACCTGTTTTTGTACCAGTTCCATGCTGTTTTGATTACTGTAGCTTTGTAGTATGTTTTGAAGTCAGGGATTGTGATGCCTCCCGTTTTGTTCTTTTTTCTCAGGATTGCTTTAGCAATTCAGGGTCTTTTGTTGCCCCATATGAATTTTAGGAT